AGGGTTATATGCATATTTTGTCATTTAAAAAAATACAAAATTGTTATGCAAAAAGATAAGGACTTGCAGAAAAAATCTACAGTCAGCAACACACACACACACACACACACATAAACGCAGACACCAGCCACCCCCCCCCCTCCCTCTTCCCCACACAGACACTGATAGAGACAAGATACACATCCAAACTGCAATATCTGACTTTCTTTTGGTCTGAGCTTCTTACTGTTAATTAGAAAGTTGATCGGCTTGACAAGAACAATATACGTGGCATGTTTTGTAACTGTAGGTAAAACGAGCAAAGTTAACACATTTTATGTGTCCTTTTTTAGTCATAAAATTATTTTCCTCGCCACGGCCAAACCGTTCGAGATATCAAAAATCCGTCCGGAATTGAGCATCCTCAATGTCTTGACTTCATGCACACCGAGTATGGTGGTGATTGGTAAACACATGCGTTGTAATTTGATGTATTTCTCCTAGGAGATTTATTCAAACAACACATAATTCCCAACTTCCATTTGAACTGTCTTAAAACTTAGAGCAGAGATGGGCGCAGGTCACGCAAGTCTCAAGTAAGTCTCAAGTCTTAACCGTCAAGTCTCAAGTAAGTCCCAAGTATTTTTTTTTTTTTGGGGGGGGGGGGGGCAAGTCAAGTCAAGTCACAGGCTATGTCAAGTCAAGTCAAGTCTTGTAGTAGGTTAAGTCAAGTGCAAGTCAAGTCACCTTATTATTTTAATTTTACATGCAGAATCTGATCTTAATAAAATGAAAAGACAAGATAAGTATTTGCCAGTAAATTACAATAATTTGCATTGTAAATACTCATGTTCAGTAAAATACACCATGGAATCAAACAAAATTGTAACTTCATAAAATTATTTATTTTTCACTTCTGCCAACAGTGTGTTTGAAATGTTTTAAATTTTCAACATTGAGTCCATAAAACAAATAACAGCTTAACATCCTACAGACTCTCTGAACACCTTCCTCTCTCTCAAACACAGTTTACAAACAATATTAAACTTTGTTACATTTCTCCTCTCTCTCTCTCTCTCTCTCTCTCTCTCTCTCTCTCTCTCTCTCTCTCTCTCACACACACAGTGGCGGTTCTAGACCATTTCAACTGGGGGGGCCAAGCTGGGGCCAGTTGTACTGTTAGAGGGGCCAGTTACATTTAGACCTTATCATTTTCTGCACTGCACTGAAGGCATAAATAAGCAAAATACCATGTTTATAATTATCCAACAATTTGCATTTCCATTATATTTTTACATTTGCATTACATATATCAGTCTGTATTTGAATTTCCATTTTATTTTTTTACATTGAATATACAGTATGTATATATATATATATATATATATATATATATATATATATATAATTTTTACAAATTAATCTACGATTTTTGTGGGTTTTTTTTTTTTTTTTTTTTTTTTGCAAAAAGATCAGCAAATTATCCTCTAAACTGGCCTTTTTAGGGGGCTTTCCTCTCAGGGTGAATGAGCTTTTTTATAATTGTTTTTTTCCTGACATCTTTGAAAGACAGAAGCAATAATTAATGCATCCTTGGCCAGGATATAATTATAAAATATGACATGATTTTAAAAGTGACCTATAAAATCGACTATGCAATACACTTTAATTTATCTAGTGCTAATAAAATTATTAAGCCTATTTGGAGAGAGAGATGTTTATAATGTGACAATATGTCAGTCATCGTGATTTGTGTAATAAGATGACTAGGCCTAGACTACTTGTTCTGAGCAGGTGTTGTCAGTGAACAGGCTGTAAAACTGTTGTCTAAGTTACAGACTGATACTAATTAAATGGGAAACGAATCGATTACCTAACGTAACCTCGGTTCTCTCTAGATGAGGGAACGAGCATTGCGTAAGCTAGCTTACGCTACGGGAAAGATTCATCTTACATCAGTCAAGTTGTCATAGTTTTTGTCAAACAAGTTGTGAATTTGTTGTAACATTAAAACAGGAGATCATGACTTACTCCGTGCTCCAAGTGATGTTCGGAGCTCCAGTGATTAGTTTCATCTGTGGGACGGGTGAAGAAACTTTCGGAAGATGTTGTAACAGAATCATATGAACAATTCCAGGATATGCTTTTTTTCATTGGTTGTTGCGTTAAATTTTACCCAGATACAATAGTGCCCTTTTCTGATTGGCTATTAAGTAGCACTTCTCTTTTTTTGATTGGCTGATGCGTAGCAGGGTCGACTGCTGAACTCCAGGCGAGACGCGCTTGATTCTCACGTGAGAGCGGCGCGGCCAGAGAAATTGCGTATATTAAATATATTATTAATAGTTTTTCCGCATGAGAAATACAATGTGTGACGGGAGTGTGAGACAAAAGACTGAAACGAGTGACTGTCATGCTCAATGCGTGACACACTATAAAAAAAATATTTCACACTGACTCCACATTTAGGGGGGCCACAAGGGGGTCCAAGCTTGTTGTCGCAGGGGCACTGGCCCCCCCAGGCCCCCGCCTAGAACCGCCACTGCTCACACACACACACACACACACACTTTCTCTCTCTCTCAAGAAGCAAAAACATGACTGCTAAAGGTTGTATCAGCGATGGCGGGGTAACATCACTTAACATCACGAGTGATATTCCCTTAGGCCACGCCCCCTTGTCTCCCCAAAGTATTATAAGCAATCATGCGCATCCCGTGTGCAGAATGATGCACTTGAAGCAACACCAAGTCACAGCACGCAACGCTTCACATTGAAAAGAACATAGCGAAGGGATGGTATCTATAATCTATGCTTAGTAGGGCTGCACGATTTGGGAAAATGTCATATTGCCATTATTGAGCCAATATTGCAATTGCGATTTGCGACTCCGATATAATAAAATGGTTTCATGAGTCCAACTTGCTTGGTTCTAAAGTAAAATGCACACACAGATTAATGTTTATTTCTCAACTCAAACTAAAAACAACAACAACAATAAATGATTGATAACACCTATAATGATCAATAAACCATCAACCAAACCAACATTACAGTGATTCCATCAATTGAAAGCCATCAACTTTTTAAAAAATTATTAGGCTTAAAAATATATATATAACAGCTTTTAAATTAAGTGAACTTCAAACAATCCCCACATAAACCCATAATAAAAAACATATTATTTACCTGTGCCCTTCCTGTCTTAACAGGTACAGAAATTGAATAAAGTTATCAAACAGTCTGCGCTGCCTGAATCATAAATTATATATAAAATAATACTTATTAAAGCTACAAAAGTTCTTTACTCAAGATCAGTGAGTAATTTTCTAATTTCCCTTTGTTCTTTTAACTTTAATGAAAGAACGCTTTATTCGCTGCTGGCCCTTTAAGAGCACCCGTTGCCGAGACGCGGATCTCACACGCGCCTCATAGCACAACTCTTTTCATCCATAGACTTTTCTTATGTTATGAAGATACTAGACAAAACCACATTTTGGCATAATTGTGTGTGCTATTGTTCGTTCAAGCTCGAAAGAGAACTGTTTATTCTGGGCTGGCACACGGTCAGTGCATGCGCATTATGCGTATCATCTAATCTAGGGCACTCACAGGCAGCTTTTCACTTCTTGTCGTGCAAAATGCGAAAAGGCATTTGAACCAATAAGAGGGGGATCTTGTAACACTAGTCAAAGGATGACAAAAAAGAAGAGATGCTGCGCTAATAGCCCTACTTTGTTTATTTCATATAAAATCGCGGCATTTTGCGTTATATAATTGCATAGGTTTGAGATCGCTATTACGACTGCGATATAATTAATCGTGCAGCACTAATGCTTAGTGTATTCTAAAGGGCAATAAACTCCACTCCAGCAAGATAGTCATTTTATGCAAATCATAGACCTTTACCCACATGGAAAGAAACTATATGAGGATATATGCGCATATATGAAACCTATATGCAGTTTATATGCACATATATGCTGCATATATACAGCATATATGCACATATATGATAATATATATGCTGCATATGTGTGTATATATGACACATATAGGCAATTTTAGGTGCATATATGTGCATATGCAGGCCATATAGGTCTCCTGCATTGCTTCTTTATATCCACACATAAGTGCTATATACAAGAGTATCCTACACTCTAAAAAAATGCTGGGTTGTTTTAACCCAATTTTGGGTCAAATATGGACAAACCCAAAATGCTGGGTTAAAAATGTAATGTAAAAATGTAACCCAACGGCTGGGTTAGTCCATATTTGACCCAAAGTTGGGTTAAAACAACCCAGCATTTTTTAGAGTGTATACTGTAGCTCATGGCAGGATCTGGTCATTTGTAGCTCATCCACTCTAAACAATGCTGGGTTGTTTGAACCCAAATTTGGGTGAAATATGGACAACCCCAAATGTTTGGTTAAAAATTTAATTTCAAATTTTAACCCAAATTCAACTTTCACTTTCACTTTTTCAACTGTACATTTCTTTAATTGCATTTTTAACCCAACATTTGGGTTTGTCCATGTTTGACCCAAAGCATTTTTAGAGTGTATATGTCACTATATTGCTCAAATAAATAAATAAATATTTATATACATATCAGAATGACTTAGTGGAAAAGAAGGAAATGTATAACAAAAGGGTTTGTTGTTTTTTCATTTTACCAAAAAGCCCTTTTTCCAATTTCAAGTCACTTTCCCATACACATCCACACATTCACCGATACATCCACCAAATGCAATGCAAATTGCAATGTTTTCTGTATTGTCTGAATGCAGTTTTTTTTTTCTGGCTGAAAGGTCATTACAGTCAAAATGTAGCAAAAAAAAAAAAAGTGAATAGAACGTACATTCAAATAATCATCATCATCCCACCATCCCACCATCTATCTGAGCAATTCACAGTGGTTAATAAATTCGAATGCTGCTGCACTGCCGATTGGCCGCTACAGCGCCCCGTAGTTGATGACGTCACCCGCCTAACGCTTGACGTTATCCGTATCCGATGAGATGAAGTCGAGTTTCGCGCCGAAAGATAACGGCTGGGAGTAAAAATTGCGATTTCAGCATTGGAGATCCTCTAAGTCCTACTTATCACCAATCGTAAGTATTCCTAATTTTATATTTATTTGCAGGGTGGAAATTGCGGTGGCAGAGAAGTATAAACTTAGCATTTATTTTTTGCCAAACACACCTGTTTCAGCCCATACACTTCCTATGTTGTTAGCTGGTGAGGTAACATAACGTTACTGTGGGTGCTAAAATAACTTAGCCGTTGATAAGATTCAATTTAGAATTAACGTGTATTTATTTGTTTCTTTCTGGAGGAATTCGTAGAGGGTTAACAAAAGTCATGGCCTAGAGAACATAACGTCATGAGAATAAATGATACTTCTCTGCCAACGGCTCAAGAAGGCAATCGGCTCCAGAAAAAAAAAAAAATACCTGTGGAGTTTGAATTTGGTCGAAATTGGTGAAAGAAAGAGCCGTATCAATGGGCTTGCCTTTACAGTTGCAGGAAATGTCTTTCAAATAGTAAACATTAATGTTAGGGCATTACTATTTTGATTAAGTGATTGTAATTGTTTTTTTTTTCTTTATATAACCTCTTTCTAGAATTACCTCAAATGAAAAGTTACCTCGCCATTATTGCTCAAAAAGGTAAGTTCCTCTGATTTTGCTTTTTAAAATTGTTTCTCTAGCAGAGCTGTAGAGACTTGTGATGTTGGGCTGATTGATATTGTTAATTATTTGATTTAAGTTATTTGCACTTTAATTTATTGAAGAGAATAACTTTTATTTTTCTTCTATGAACAAGACTGGAAGGAGTCCTGTTGAGGATTTAGATTCCTCCTCTTTTGAAAAGTGCAACCGGTGAGTAACCCCCTTGAATTTTTATTTATTTATTAATAAATATCCCCATCCCCACCCCGACACCCTATCCTCCTCCTCCTCTCCTTTAAGAACATTTAGGGCAATTATTAATTTGTTTCATATTATTATTTTGTGTAATATTATTATTTTGTTTCTTTATCATTAATCTGCATTCATACATAAAAACATATAAACTATTGGGAAGCTAAGCATAAGAATCAATATGAAACAATGCCAATAAATGAATAAATTATTTTTCAGATTGAAGTTATAAAGGGCTCTGGGGTGTTTTGCCAGGCAGAAGTGTGGAAAGCAGCCCTCCTTGCCACCTCTGCTACTGCCATGGTGTGGAATCTGCTGCTGGGCACATTTGATCTGGAGACTTTGCTGAAAAACAACCTGAATGGTACAAAACATTCTCCTAATCTCTTCTGTCCGTAAAAAACAATTAATATTCTGTGGAATAAATTATGTTTGTGTGCGGGCATACCATCGCTTTTTTACTTGCCATTTTTGTATTTCCTTGCACCTCAAGAAAATGTGATGTGTATATAAAAAAAGTATTGCTTTCACAAGCTTCATTTTAACCCCCTTTTATAATAATTTTGAAATTTTACTTTAAGGTGGGAAGCCAACCAGAGGGGATGGGGAGCAGCTGGTCGCCCTTGACCAAATTAAAAAAGCATCATTATTGGTGAGTAAATGTATAAAAGTTTTGTTTTCCCTTCTCAACGCATTAGGATTTTATAAGTTCACCACTTTAACCATAGCCTACTTGTATCAATGTTTATTAGGCATCAATTGAGACTGTATAAGGGATTATTGTTACTATATCTACTTGGAACCTATAATACTAATTCATCGCTTGCTCAGTTCTTGATCCTAACTTTCCTTTTCTTAAGCCACGTTTCAGATTTTTCAGAATCTTCAGAATCTTCCAATTGACATGTTTACATGACGCATTTTTTAAAATGATCAACCTTTTATCAAAAAATATGTGTCCGATCACATCTGTACTGTAAGCACTTTGGGTTCCTGATGAAGTACTATATTCTTCTTCTTCTTCTTATTATTATTATTATAGTGTCTTATTATTTTTGTCTTCTCTAGATGCTACATTGAAGAAGTGGCCGTCAGCCAGCCGAGGGGAGGTGGGCACGTCTATCAATTCAAAGCTCATGGAGCTGAGAAGATCAAAAAGATTTTTTTTCTATCCAGTTTTTTTGTCTTATTTTTGTTTTTGTACTATTTGATCTTAAGTAAATAAATAATCTAAATGCATACATTTTGGACTATTATTTATGTTGCCTAGTAGCTATGGATTTTAATAATTATTCTAATATAGGTAAACATGTTGGTGCATGTATAAATGCACCTATATGTGCACATATATGCGTACATACATGTACATATATAGGTACATGTATGCATGTATATATGCACCTATATGTGTACATATATGCATGCATACATGTACATATATAGGTTCATATATGCACAAATATATGCACCTATATGTGTACATATATGCGTGCATACATGTACCTAGGTGCGTATATATGTGTACATATATGCACGTATATATGTACATATATGTGCATATATGTACATATAATATAGGAAAACGGCCAATTTTATATATGTCACATATATTAAAAACATATATCAAAACCTATATTAAAACATATATGTTTATATAGGTTTTTTCCATGTGGGTATGCCTTATCTACAAATAAAGTATAATATTGGGAACATTGATCTTGAAGAGAGTGTCGTCGTGTTACTGTCGCAACCGAACGCGACGCGCTGTGTGAACGCTGATGCATGGAGAATGACTGAGGCGAGATGACTTTCCGTTAACTTTAACTTAGAGACTAAAATATTAATTTTACCACACATTAAGCTATTGAATGACTTTAGAAGTCTTGGAATATAGTGTGAAAACTTGATTGTGCTTTACAGTTTTTTATGCCTTTAGTGGGGCTTAATAACACAATATGCGTCGGACGTCACTTATAGGCTAAACTGTTTTTATAGATAAAACTATTTACATTCGGCAGTCATGAAAACAAATCTCAGATAACGGTTGACTAGGTAACAATGTGTAATTTTGCGCCGGAGTTCTCCTTTAACTTACATTAGCTAGCTAACTACGAACGAGCTAACCAGATAACATTAACAAATTGACAAGCACTTACTGGGCAGAATATGGCTCTTCAAATGAAGGACGAAATTGGAGGTTGTCATCTGACTGTCCGCGATCTTAACGTTGCATGTCTTGCAAAGCGCTGTTCTTTTGCCATCTTGTTGTAAGAAATTCTTGAATCCAAAAGCGACGACGACCCTCGTTATCCCTCCGGCTGACATGTTGATGTGATCTGATGTAAGTGGGCGTGGTGTGCGCGTAAGGTATGAGAGGGCATGACTGATGATCTCTGATCCAGTCATGACAGCGCTATTCTCAGCCTGCGCTCCAGCTGGATCAACTTTATTTTTTTTTTTACATAATTTATATATTTTATATTCAAACTGAAAACATGATGTGATTAACACTCAAGTCATATTATTACATGCAAGTGTGTTTGATTTATGGACCAAATTTTCAGATCAAGTTTATGGACCAAGTTAATTTAATTAATAAACTAATTATATAAAACTATTAATGCACTGGTTATATGCCTTTACTTATAAAAAATAAAACACTTATTTAAAAAAATACCAGGCTTAAGGCATTTATTTTTTATGCAGGCAATACACACAGGAGTGAAATGGTTAAGACCCCTCCCCTACAAACACACACACATACACAGACAGGCAAAGTCAGAGAGCAAGACCACAGATTGAGCAAGACCACATTCAAACAAACATATCTGACTTTCTGTGGGTCCTAGCTAATGAGTGTCAATTAGAAAGTTGTCCGGCTCGAGGAGTACAATATACATACCGATTTTTGTAACTGTAGATAAAACTAACAACCCCACTTTTGTCAAAAGGTGGCGCTACTGAGCCCTCACCACGCCCGTTTCTGAAACTTTGCACGTGTCTACTGGCTAATAAATGTGATGTGTCTGTCGAGTTTCATGCAATTTCAAGCATGCTAAGGGTCTCAAAAGCATCCTAAAAGAATGGTAACGTTTGATGCGTCGCCACGGCAACAGTTTCAAAGATATCAAGAATCCATTCACAGGTCTACATCTGCCGTATGTTTACATTATACAGATGACGTTTGAAGCAAATCGGGTAAAAATAAAAGGGTGATATCAAAGCATTTTGAAAGTGACACACTTCCTGCTGCCAGTTGGTGGCGCTATAACTTTGACTCACAATAGTCACATCCATGTGATCGTCCTCTTACAGCGAACACACTGCTGAAGTTTCATCAAGATCAGTTAATGTATGCTGAAGTTATAACACACTTCCTGGTTCACGTTTCTCGCCATGATTTCGTTTCCTCGCCACGGCCAAACCGTTCGAGATATCAAAAATCCCCTCGCAAACTTTCATCCTCAATGTCTTGACTTCATGCTGACCGAGTTTTGTCGAATATGGATCAAAGCTCTAGGAGGAGTATTTAACATTCCATTGCGAGCGTTTTACAAACAAACCTCAATAGCCGACTTCCTGTTGGGCTGGGGTAAAAAGTAAAAGCGCGAGGTATAGATGAAACTATGAGATCAACATGTGCACAGAGTTTCATATTATTACATACAAACGTGTTTGAGTTATGGACCAAGTGTTCGGACCCCGTTCCAGGGGGCGCTGACGAGCCGCCCTAACACGCCCGGGTACCAGCTTCAGCCCGGCTCTGATGGCCGCGGGTTCTGACCCATGTGCAAAGTTTCAAGAGTTTTCGAGCACGTTAAGGGCCCCAAAAATGCCCAAAAGGTTACAAAATAATAATAATAAAATATAGCTGCGAGCAGCGATTGCGGGCCCAAGCCGGTGGCACCGCAACCCCTAACCCTAACCCTGGCCCTTTATCGCTGCTCACAGCTATATTTATATTTAATATAAAGCCGGTGGCACTGCCACCTTGGTGCCTTTAGGGTTATTCTGTACGACGTGTAAAAACATAACCCCCGCTTTGACTATCAAAAAGAAGTGTATTGTAGAGTTTGCATCAATACGGACTCGATGCGCTGTGCGCTGTAACTCCATGTGGCTTTAAGCGCATCATTCTCCACTCGGGATGCGCATAAGCGTTTTGTGCCACACTGTACTGAGCCTTTCATATCATAATGCAGTGACGCAATGACAGATTATTAATTGCCTTTCTTGTTCTGTTCCATCTATTATATGTTGATAATAGATAGGACAGAGCACTAAAAACCTCAAACAAAGCACTAAAAACTTAAGCTGTTTGCTGTGTAGTCTGAGAATGAGCTGTTTGATTTGCACCCTCTTCCTCTTCACTGTCAAACCAGCTATCCAGGTCCATGTTGTTCTAGAAAGTTTGTATGTTGCTGCCTCAATTAACATCTCTGCTATACATTTAAAACATGGCTATATCTAAAATAATTTATCTTTTTGATTTTTGTTATCTTGTTTTTCATGAATATTTTACAACAATACAAAGAGCAATGTGTATTTTCCATTAATATAGTTTGTAATGGCTTTTTTTGTCATAGATTATAATCATATATTTTTGGATTTGTTATTTATCTTTATAATGAAGTTGTCTGTATTAAGTAGATTGTGTTTAACACACACAAGAGTGATTTATTAGTTCAACACATAGTTATAGAAATTCTACTTTATCTAAAAAAACCCTGCACTTTATACACACACACACACACACACACACACACACAAATACATGTAAATAAAAATACCAAAAAAAAACACATCAAATGTGTTTTTAGTCAGAGTATTATTTTATACAGAAACAAATATTTGTAATTCAGATAAGAATGAAGTTAGTGTTTTAAAATCTTAAGGAAAACAAATATATTGAAATATAGCACATGAATTTTAAATTCATTCAACTTCAATTACAAATACAATCTTACTTTTATTTAAAGCAATCTATACATTTAAAAGATGGGGGTTATATGCCTATTTTGTCATTTAAAAAAAATACAAAATTGTTATGCAAAAAGACAAGGACTTAGAGACAAGGACTTATAGGAAAAATCGCAGCCAGCCACAGTGTGTGGTTCAAACATACATAAACACAGACGACAGCCCTCCCCTCCCCCCCCACACACACGCACATGCACACACACACACACACACACACAAACACAGACAACAGCCCTCCCCTCCCCACACAGACACACACACCCACACACACACAGAGAGAGAGAGAGAGAGAGAGAGAGAGAGAGTGAATCGCAGGGGAAATAAATCCATTCAAACTACAATATCTGACTTTCTGTTGCTCAGAGCGAATGACTTTAAATTGGAAAGTTGATCGGCTTGACGAGAACAATATACGTGGAAAGTTTTGTAACTGTAGGTAAAATGAGCAAAGTTATAACACACTTTATGTGTCCTTTTTTAGTCATAAAATTCATTTCCTCGTCACGGCCAGACCGTTCGAGATATCAAAAATCCGTCCGGAATTGAGCATCCTCAATGTCTTGACTTCATGCACACCGAGTTTGGTTGTGATTGGTAAACACATGCATTGTGATTTGATGTATTTCTCCTAGGACAATTATTCAAACAACCCATAATTCATAATTCATAAATAACTTCCATTTGAACTGTCATAAAACTTAGAGCACGAAAGTTGTTTGGCCTGATGTGATCTATAATTGTACCGAGTTTCATATTAATTCATGCAAGTGTGTTTGATTTATGGACAAATGTTCGAATCCCAGTCCAGGGGGCGCTGTCGAGCCGCCCTGCCACGCCCGGTTACCAGCTTCAGCCCGGCCCTGATGGCCATGGGTTCTGACCCGTGTGCAAAGTTTCAAGAGTTTTCGAGGATGTTAAGGCCCCCGAAAATGCCAGAGAAGTCGCACACAGCAAATA